GGGGGGGCCCACTGTGGCTCGTCCAGCCCGTCTCCGCAGACGGAGCGATGCCAGATGTGCCTGGCCTCCCGCTTGGCGGGCTCGCCGGCGGTGGTGCTGTCCTTGCTGCCCCTGCTGCCGGGCTTGCGGCCCGTCGACGTGCCGAGGGCACAAAAGGATATGGCTATGCAGGCCATCTCGGCGTCTTTGGTTGTTGGGCGGCGTGGGCGGCAGAGCGGACTGGGGTGGTCATTTGCGACGTGTGTTGCTGCACCAACAAGAAAGAGGTTAAGAAAGGGTTACCGTCACGGCGACGTCGCGTGTCTCGCTCACTGCCAGAGGCGCAGATCAGGTTTGAGGATGGGTCTGGTAGGAATTCCCAAGCGCTCCAGCCTAGCACAGATAACTGCTTGTCGGCCTGCAATCCCACGGAGTGCAGGGTCAGGGCGGCGGGAGATGAAGCTGCAGCTGCAGCGGCAGCTGGAGAGCTTCTGTTTTGACCCGAGTCCAAGGCTCCACGCATTGACGAGCCCCTGCCAATTCCCAGCAAAACCGCCTTCCAATTGCAGGAGCAGGCGCTGCAGGCAGCCCCGGATTGGACACAGCTGAAGACATGCATGTCTTCAACCTTCTGGACTCGCCTCAATTCTTCCGTTGCGGGATACGCCACATGGGTCTGAAGCCTCCATCGCGCCTTCCCGGGATTCATTTCCGCCATTGTCATCTCGTCGGGAATGTCAGTGTCAATGGCCGCTCGCGATACGTCATACCTGCAACATGGGAATAGAATTATCATCAATTGACGCATGCATGCATTTTGGAAACAAAGACCGCCACCACCACCTCGCTATTGAAACCCCATAACATTAATCCAATAGTCGGATTTCCAATAGCTCAGAAAGCCCAAGCTTCGGCGACCACTTGGCCTCCCCCAGTCTAGTAGAACCCAGCCGTGAAATCCAGCACTGTCACCTTCTCGACAATGTCCGAGATGCCGCCGACAAAGGCTTTGTGCGCGGGGTCCGTCTTGACGTAGTAGTCGCGGTCCTCGATGGAGGCGAACTCGACCACGTAGCCATGCGTGGCGCCGTGCTACCCAAGCTGTGGTCAGCGAATATCCCTCCAGCATTTGGACAAATCCCTAGTCATGTCCGTCCCATACCTGCAGTCCCTCTGGCGAATGGTCCCTGCCGCCCTTGAGCGACACAATGTAGGGCTGCTTGCGGGTTGGATGGATACACTTGGTCCGCAGCGCCATCAACCGCTTGTGGGCCTGAGGAAGGAAGGCCCGAGGCCGATGTCAGTGAATGCGTGCTGCGGCCACGTCCAGCCGTCCAAGCATGCTGCCCGAGCAGGACGGGAAGCAACTCACCATGACGACCGCGTCGGGATCGGCGGCCGTCTTCCACTCGAACAGGGCCACGTGCGTCACATGTCCCGCGTCGGTTTTGGACGTCGCGCTGCCTGCCGACCCGCTCGACACGACGCCGTGGCCGTCGAAAGGCACGAAGAAAAGGCCAACCAGGGCGACAAAGGCCAGGGCCGCGTAGAGAGGGTTGAATCTTGGCTTGGACATTGTAAGGCGTCTGGTCTCTCTACGGATCGTTCCAAAAGGGTTGGATAGCCATCCGGAATTGGTGATGGGGGGGTTGTGTTTATTTTTATACCAGCTTGGCGGCGCCAGCTGAACACTGTCAATTGGAGATGGAGATTGTGAACCGACGGCACGGTCTGTGCGTAGGGCTAGTTCAGGGGTATGCGGTGCTGGATCCACGCTGTATTCAGCTGCAATTGCCCGGTTTTCAGCTGACGCCACGCTCAGCCTGCGCGTGGCTGGCCTAACGTTGAAGGAATCACCACGATCGAGCCGATTTTTCCCCCTCCAACAGACGCACGGAAAAAAAACATAACAAACAAACCCAGTTGGATCGGATCCTCTCAGAAATTATTGAAGGGGAAGGGAAATGACTGCCCATCAATTTGCAAATAAAATATAGGCGTGGGCTTATGTTTGTGTTGTATAATTTGCATTTGAAGTGTGGCCCTTTTTTTTGTTGCTCGATCGTTTATTTTTTTTGTATGGCGTCAATGTCTCAGTTCAATCAATGCGCAGACTCATCCAAAATAGCACCGCCTGGACCAACCCGTCGCGGGCTGACTGGGAGATATGCGCAGGAAATCAGAAACTCGCAGGGCATTCATCAAGTTGCTTCTGCTGGCCCGAACCTTCTCGTCGCTTTCCTCCCCTCGCTGCCGAGGCATCCAAGACGGCGATGGGCCACGGATGGCCTTTGGTCATCATAGACAAAGCGCCTCTTCTGGCGTTCCGATACCTCCCGCGGTTATTTCAGCCTTTTCGCGCCCAGAAGCCTTCCGACCGATATGGCAAGGCACGGCTGAGCTGCGCTTACAACCAAGTGGTCCCCATCCTTGGCCGTCGATAGGCGGGATGGCGAACAGCCTATCGACTACTCGCCCCAAGGCACTGGCGAGCATGCAATAGTACCCACTCATCTGTTGCAACAACGATTGCCTGGGCCATTTCGAGCAGTGTTCTGCCGCGGTTGGGTGTTGGAGGGTCTGCGTGCGACGAAACCAAGCCTCGTGCTCTGTTCGGAACGCTGACTGGCGCTAAGGGGTCGCGTGGAGGAACGCCACGAGGGTACTTGGCCAACCTCGATTGGCCCACGCGGATGGACTCGAGCAAGTGATTTGCTCTTTCTCGTCAACCCAAACACCGCAAAGAAACATCCTAAACCCATTTGTTTTGGTGTGATTTTGGGAACCTGACATCCCATGGCAGAAAACAATCTTGACGTAGCAAAAACCATACTGCCGTCACAATGCGGCCTCAAATATCACTGCCGCGTCCCTCGGAGGCTGACGTTGAGACCCAGCCTCTCCTATCCACTTCGCAGAGCTACGACCCCAGAGACTCCTCCCCCGAGCAGCGGTCAGCCCGGCCCACCAGCATTCGATCAGTCCCTTCTACCCTCAGAGCCCTACTACAAGCCACCTGGCCGGTCTCGCTTCTGCTAGCCATCGTTCTCGCGGTCATGTGGGCCCTGTACCTCGTCGCCTGGGTGGCGCCCCGGGCGCTGAACCCGACGCCGCCCAGCGCGGAGCAGCGCGCCCGGGACGCGGAGTGGGTCTCGGGCTCCCCGTACTGGGCCGACCGGCAGGCCTGCCGCTGGCTGAGCCTCTGCGGCGTCCACCACCTCCGCTGGGACCCGCCGGCCATCGAGGGAGGCGGCGCTGACGAGCGCCCGCGGGGTGGTGCTGGAGAAAGTGGCAGAGGGAGAGAGAGGGCAGGCTTCCGACGACCAAGGGCAAAGGTGGCGGGTAGCAAAGGTGCAAAGCAGGTGCCCGAATACGTGCTGCGACACGCCCCGTTAGTTCATCTGCACTCCGGGGAAAGCTTTTGGCCCGCGAGCGTCGAGGAACACCTGAGGCACATGCGCCCTGTCAATCACACCGCGCCGGGTAGCAATAACGGTGATGGCGGTAGTTCTCATGCCCTCTTGAACCTGACGAGTCTAGACTCCCTCGACGCCACCCACGGCGGCGCAGTGTACCTCACGAGCACAGAAGACGTGGAGACGCGGCCGACCTGGCTAACCAGCCGGGGCGGCCTGCCCAGCAGCACCGACGGCGAAAACATGGGCCGCTCGACGGCGCCCGCCGTGCTCGTGCTCGTGGAGAAGGATACGGACGACGACGGGCCGGTCCTGGACGCCTTCTGGTTTTTCTTCTACAGCTACAACCTCGGGCAGACGGTGCTCGGCGTCCGGTTCGGCAACCACGTGGGCGACTGGGAGCACTGTATGGTGCGCTTCGTGCGCGGCGAGCCGACGGCCGTGTTCCTGAGCGAGCACGAAGGCGGGCAGGCGTACGCGTGGCGGGCGCTCGAGAAGGCGGCGGCGGAGGGCGACAACAACGGTAGCAGCCAGCACTCGCGGCCGTCGGGGGGCGGCGGCGGCGGCGACAGGCCCGTCGTCTACTCGGCCGTCGGCAGCCACGCCATGCACGCCACGGCCGGGAGCCACCCCTACGTCCTGCCCTTTGGCATGCTCAAGGACGTGACGGACGAGGGGCCGCTGTGGGACCCGGCCAGGAACGCGTGGGCGTACTGGCACGAGCCGCCCGGCGGCGAGGACGAGAGCGCCTTCAAGCCCGCCGCGCCGATCGGCGGCGAGGCGGCGCCGGCACCGGCCGGCTGGCTGGGATTCAGGGGCCGCTGGGGCGACGAGCTGTACGGCCTCGACGACGGGCGCCAGTGGCGCCTGTTCAACCAGTACCACTACGTAAACGGGCCTGCCGGGCCGGCAGACAAGCACCTTGGGCGGAACGCGATGTGCCCCCAGTCGAGGTGCAAGGTACTGGATAGTCTAGAAGTTGGGAGGAAGAGGACGTGGTATACATAGAGCATCATGATATTCAACTTGGCGGTTTCTGTCATGTGTTTTGGGTGGTGCACCTCACTCGTCGTCGATGCACTGTGTGGTGCGTGCTGTGTGATGGCTCGGCTCGGACATCGGAGCCGAACAACAACTCAGGGGAGAAGTCGCACGCCATCGAGAAGGAAGCATTCGCCATCGATCGATCCCTGTCTGTTTCTGATCTGCGCCATCTCAGTAGGTAAAAGTCAGATCGGGTGTCTTCGTATCTCCGCATGCTCCAAGCTCCCTAGCTTCAAGTGTTCGCGCCTTGCAACAACTCACTCACATCCCGGTTCCCTGCACATAAAAGCCCTAGGAATTCTAACACTACCCAAGACATGACACGCACTTTTGCGCCCCTGACCCCACCTCCATCCCACCAAAATCTATTCCGTCATCTGGACCTGCCCTTTTCAACACCCTCTCTTTTCCCGTCCCCTTTTGCCGTTGGCATGGCGGTTCAGCCTCCATTGGCTCGAGATGGCCAGGGGGATCGGCGTCACGTTAGACCATGCATTACATGAGCGAGCATGCACCGGCCATGCACGTGGCTTGAATCGGCTGTGCTCAATGGGCCCGCGATGAGGGACAAAAATGCCCGCCGATCGATCCCCACCGTTTTCCCGTCGTCTCGGGGACGGACTTGCGTATCGACGGGCGCTTTGCCCATCTCCCACTAGCAAAACCGCATACCATATACCATGCCAGCTCTTTACCTGGCCCGAGTCTTGTGCTCTAGCTAGGTACCTAAAATACTGTCAAATACCTAGTACCTAGCCTTGGTTCCCAGAGGTCTGGTTCCGATGCTGACGTCGGATGATGGGTTAAACACGGCTCTCTTCGGCCTGCCCTGACCCATCCGCCATCTTTCCGGCTGGCCCCCTCGCTCGGCCGGCGGATCTGCACGATATCCCGCATGCAGCCCTCTCCCTCACTGTCCCCTGGCCGATCCAGACGGCAACCACCCCATTCCCGCTATCTCGTCCGTGCCTATTTGTCATCGGGCAATAGATAGACCTCCTCCCTATTTTTTCGGCCGCCCTTGGAATGTCACTCCAGGGACCGGCGGAGTCCGGTAGTCCGCGCACTCCCACCACCCAACGCACAATGGCACCCTTGTAGCACGTAAAACCCGCCCGGTCCAATGTCCCCCGATCCGCATCGCTCCTCGCTCGCCGTCCCATCGATGCTCTTTCTCTGTTATTGGGGGGAAGCATGTGAATCCGGAATCCCGGTTAGCTTATCAACTTCATAAGCAGCCAGAGGTTCCTAACCCCAGGGGAACCGTCTTCTCACGCGCAAAGAAAAGGACCGTTCCATGCAAGGCTCGAACACCTCCCTTGCATCAGCCAGCACACGAATCCTCTCGATCGCGGACGTCACCAAATTGC